TTGTATGTAAAAGAGCAGTATGACTCCTCAGAACTCCAGTATGAAACTGCAGAAAAACCTTAAAGTCTCTGGATTAAGTTTAGAAGTGTGAGCAACAAGGGTGACGTCGTGGTGGGAGTCTGCTAGAGACCAGCAGACCAGGGGGATGAGGTGGACGAGGCTTTCTTCCAGCAACTAACAGAAGTTGCTAGATCGCAGGCCCTGGTTCTCATGGGAGACTTTAATCACCATGATATCTGCTGGGAGAGCAATACAGCGGTGCACAGACAATCCAGGAAGATTTTGGAAAGTGTAGGGGACAATTTCCTGGTGCAAGTGCTGGAGGAACCAACTAGGGGCAGAGCTGTTCTTGACCTGCTGCTCATAAACAGGGAAGAATTAGTAGGGGAAGCAAAAGTGGATGGGAACCTGGGAGGCAGTGACCATGAGATGGTCGAGTTCAAGATCCTGACACAAGGAAGAAAGGAGAGCAGCAGACTACGGACCCTGGACTTCAGAAAAGTAGACTTTGACTCCCTCAGGGAACTGATGGGCAGGATCCCCTGGGAGAATAACATGAAGGGGAAAGGAGTCCAGGAGAGCTGGCTGTATTTTAAAGAATCCTTATTAAGGTTGCAGGAACAAACCATTCCGATGTGTAGAAAGAATAGTAAATATGGCAGGCGACCTGCTTGGCTTAACAGTGAAATCCTTGCTGATCTTAAATGCAAAAAAGAAGCTTACAAGAATTGGAAGATTGGACAAATGACCAGGGAGGAGTATAAAAATATTGCTCAGGCATGCAGGAGTGAAATCAGGAAGGCCAAATCACACTTGGAGTTGCAGCTAGCAAGAGATGTTAAGAGTAACAAGAAGGGTTTCTTCAGGTATGTTAGCAACAAGAAGAAAGTCAAGGAAAGTGTGGGCCCCTTACTGAATGAGGGAGGCAACCTAGTGACAGAGGATGTGGAAAAAGCTAATGTACTCCATTTTTTTTTTTTCCCCCTCTGTCTTCACGAACAAGGACAGCTCCCAGACCGCTGCACTGGGCAACACAGCATGGGGAGGAGGTGACCAGCCCTCTGTGGAGAAAGAAGTGGTTCGGGACTATTTAGAAAAGCTGGATGAGCACGAATCCATGGGGCCGGATGCACTGCATCCGAGGGTGCTAAAGGAGTTGGCGGATGTGATTGCAGAGCCATTGGCCATTATCTTTGAAAACTCATGGCGATCAGGGGAGGTCCCCGATGACTGGAAAAAGGCTAATGTAGTGCCCATCTTTTAAAAAAGGAAGGAGGAGGATCTGGGGAACTACAGGCCGGTCAGCCTCACCTCAGTCCCTGGAAAAATCATGGAGCAGGTCCTCAAGGAATCAAATCTGAAGCACTTCAGAGGAGACGAAAGTGATCAGGAACAGTCAGCATGGATTCACCAAGGGCAAGTCATGCCTGACTAACCTAATTGCCTTTTATGAGGAGATAACTGGCTCTGAGAATAAGGGGAAAGCAGTGGCTGTGTTATTCCTTGACTCTGGCAAAGCTTTTGATACGGTCTCCCACAGTATTCTTGCCGGCAAGCTAAAGAAGTATGGGAGGGATGAATGGACTATAAGGTGGATAGAAAGCTGGCTAGGTCGTCGGGCTCAACAGGTAGTGATCAATGGCTCCATGTCTAGTTGGCAGCCGATATCAAGCGGAGAGCCCCAAGGGTCGGTCCTCGGGCCGGTTTTGTTCAATATCTTCATTAATCATCTGGAAGATGGCGTGGACTGCACTCTCAGCAAGTTTGCAGATGACACTAAACTGGGAGGAGTGGTAGATACACTGGAGGGTAGAGATAGGATACAGAGAGATCTAGACAAATTAGAGGATTGGGCCAAAAGAAACCTGATGAGGTTCAACAAGGACAAGTGCAGAGTCCTGCACTTAAGACGGAAGAATCCCATGCACTGCTACAGACTAGGTACTGAATGCCTAGGCAGCAGTTCTGCAGAAAAGGACCTAGGGGTTACAGTGGACAAGAAGCTGGATATGAGTGGACAGTGTGCCCTTGTTGCCAAGAAGGTTAATGGCATTGTGGGCTGTATAAGTAGGGGCATTGCCAGCAGATCGAGGGACGTGATCATTCCCCTTTATTCAACATTGGTGAGGCCTCATCTGAAGTACTGTGTCCAGTTTTGGGCCCCATGCTACAAGAAGGATGTGGAAAAATTGGACAGAGTCCAGCGGAGAGCAACAAAAATGATTAGGGGGCTGGAACACATGACTTATTAGAAGCGGTTGAGGGAACTGGGATTGTTTAATCTGCAGAAGAGAAGAATGAGGAGAGATTTGATAGCTGCTTTCAACTACCTGAAAGGGGGTTCCAAAGAGGATGGATCTAGACTGTTCTCAGTGGTACCAGATGACAGAACAAGGAGCAATGGTCTCAAGTTGAAGTGGGGGAGGTTTAGGTTGGATATTAGGAAACACTTTTTCCACTAGGAGGGTGGTGAAGCACTGGAATGGGTTACCTAGGGAGGTGGTGGCATCTCCTTCCTTAGAGGTTTTTAAGGTCAGGCTTGACAAAGCTCTGGCTGGGATGATTTAGTTGGGGATTGGTCCTGCTTTGAGCAGGGGGGTGGACTAGCTGACCTCCTGAGGTCCCTTCCAACCCTGATAGTCTATGATTCTATGATCAGTTTGATCCCCCAGTGGCCTCAGCATTGCATCCTGCCTCCTCTCATCGCGCTGCCGCCACCTCTCATCTTGCTCCCGCCACCTTTCATCTCGCTTGTCCCTCCTGTCCTCTCATTCATTTTCTGCTTTCCTGGACTCTGACATTGTTTGCCTCCACAGATTCTGCTGAGCTCTTTCAGTGCAGTAGGACTGCATGAGCTCAGAGAACATTTTAGAGAACAATGGGTAGACTCTTTCACGGTGAACCAAGCTGTTAACATTACATAGCACAGGTGCTTTCAGTACAAGGTCGCATTTTTCCTCTTATATTGAGGGCCTGCCGGTTTGGTGTGAGAGATCACACACGCAGGGCTGGGCAACAGAATTCGGCTTGCAGGCAGCCATGGTAAGCCACAGTCTTTTGGCTTCTTCAACCTTCATAACATGTGGGAATGGTTTCAAACAGCAGCGCCCTCCTTTCCCATACCAAGCACCTGTTGGGCTGGCCATTTAAAAGGAGGGGCTGTACTGGCCGCGAATGCATCCCAAGTCTTCAGGGCAAATTAATCATTAAACACGCTTGTTTTTAAACCGTGCATTATATTTACAAAGGTGCACTCACCAGACGTGCCTTCTCTGGCTTCATGGTCCATGAGCCCACCTTGTGAGGGTTGGGAGGGTACTGGCTCCAGAGTGATAAACAGTTCCTGGCTGTCGGGGAGAATGGTTTCTCCACTTGCGTGCTGTGCGTTATCCTCATCCTCCTCCACCTCCTCATCTTCCTCGTCCCCAAAATCCTCATCCCTGTTGCATGAGACTCCCTCCTTTCAGGTGTCCATGGACAGGGGTGGGGCAGTGGTAGGGGTCCCCCCTAGAATTGCATGCAGCTCATCATAGAAGTGGCACGTCTGGGGCTCTGACCCGGAGCGGCCGTTTGCCTCTTTGGTATGCTTGCCTGAGCGCCTTAATTTTCGCGCGGCACTGCTGCAGGTCCCTGTTGTAGCCTCTGTCCATCATGCCCTTGGAGATTTTTTCAAATATTTTGGCATTTCGTCTTTTGGAACGGAGTTCTGATAGCACGGATTCGTCTCCCCAAACAGTGATCAGCTCAAGTACCTCCCATTTGGTCCATGCTGGAGCTCTTTTGCAATTCTGGGACTGCATGGTCACCTGTGCTGTTGAGCTCACCACGCTGGCCAAACAGGAAATGAAATTCAAAAGTTCCCAGGGCTTTTGCTGTGTACCTGGCTAGTGCATCTGAGTTGAAAGTGCTGTCCAGAGCGGTCACAATGGAGCACTCTGGGATAGCTCCCGGAAGCCAATACTGTCGATTTGCATCCACACTACCCTAAATTCGACCTGGCGATGTCGATTTCAGAACTAATCCCCTCATTGGGGAGGAGTACAGAAATCAATTTTAAGAGCCCTTTAAGTCGACAAAAATGGCTTTGTCATGTGGACCGGTGCAGAGTTAAATCAATCTAACACTACTAAATTCGACCTAAACTCGTAGTGTAGACCAGGGCTAAGTTTCAACACAAAGCAGGGAGAGCAGAGAAGGGAAATGCACGGCAAAGTTCAGGAACGTTTGCAAGTTGAGAAGGAGAATGGAGTTCTAGATCTGTCAAGAGAGAGAAGGGCTAAGAATCCCACCAGCAGACTTTCTCTGCAGCCTGAAAACAGCCCGCAAGTTGGCCCAAGAACCATACTAAGGGCCCTCCTCCCAGCCACCAGGGATACTGCCTCCATAGTACTTTCAGTCCCTGATGGCCACGGAGATACGATGTCTAGAATTTGGACTCTGATCCACCACGTTGTCTCATTTATACCATTTCTGCTCCGACAGGCCAGGCCAGAGAACAGACAGCTGAAGAAGGAACTTAACATGTCTCCAATACCAGAGCACAAGAAGCAATTATTGTAAATTTAATTTTTTAAAAGGCCATGCAGGGCCTTTCACCTCTCTCCCAAAGATCAGAACTCCTTCTATAGCTGTGCACTGGATCTGTCAGTTGTCCCTCACAAGGATGCCCCCAATTTTCACCTCTGTCCCACTCAAACTCAGTGACATTTCCTGATTACACCAAGTTATTTACATATTGATTGTGATGCCATGGAGTTTATATGCTAAAGGAACGAAACCCACCTAATTTTAAGCTTCCTGAACACTGTATGCACTTGGACAGTTAGCACAATCAGCAATGCAACACAAATTCTGTGTCCTTTTAAGGCTATTTTCCTGCTTGAATCATTACCTCCAGAACAAGCACTGGCTCTATCGTATTACATTAAGGAAATAGTAGGGCAAAGGAAACCACTGAGAAGATTCTGTTTTAAAACATGTGTAGCAAGTTGAGTACTTACTAGATTGCTTCACCTTTCTGTAAACGACAAACACAAAAATCCCTATAAGGGGCAATGCCACTGCAGCTCCAATTATTATTCCAGTTAGCTGTGGGGAGAGGTTAGGAAAAAGAGTGAATAATTAAAATATTCCTTAAAATGTTGGTAAATCCTACAGCAAACACTCAGCAAGGTATGAATGTGGAAATTCAGGGCATGTTCAGAAATCCTCATTTTGGAAAAGAAAAAAAGTGACCTAATTGTAATATAACTAAGTACTGAAGCATTTAAACAATTTCAGTCTCCCTCCCACACACATACCCCTGGGATCCTCTGCTTCTATTTGAAGGACCTATGAATTGAATAAGTAGGTAGCACATGGGGTGAAAACCAGAAACTGAAACTCCACTTCATGCACTGCAGTAATGTGAGATCACATAATCCACTCAAGCTCTGACTTACTCCTGGGGGAATTCTGCACCACTGCACAGATTTTTTTTTTTCTCCACAAAAATACATTCTGCCGGAGAGGCACTGCAGTTGCACCTTTCACTCAACAGGGGCTGCTGTGGCACCAAAACAGAGGGCAGCCAGCTCACTGTAGCAGCCAGCAGCTGACAGGGAGAAAGCAGAGGCTGATTTTCTCATAGAGACATGGCTGTGAGGTCAGGTGAGGAAGATGGGATATGGGGGGACGGAGAGAGCAGAGCATACAGGGCTGTTGGGGGGGGTCACAGAGGGTCAAAAGGGCTAGTGAAGGGGGTAGACTAGAGCGGAGGCTAAATGGAAGTGGGGGTGCAGGGACACTGGGGGTGGGGGTGTGCAGGGCCAAATGGGGACCAAGGGAGGGGGAGCATGGGAACAGGGGAAGGAAAGTGCAGGGACACATGGGGACAGGGGCAGATGTGCCTGACTGAATGGGAGAGGCTAGTGGTCAGCCAGGGTCAGCATGGGGGAGGCTCCCCAACTCCCTAACAATCTCTCTCCCCCAAAAAAACCCTGTTCCATACTTCTCCCACCCACACCCAACAACCCTCCAGGTTCACTCCCAGGCTGCTTCTGAGCAATTACTTCCCTATCCCTCAGCTCCTCCGTTACCCCTGACTCCCCCAAGCCTTTGCACTGCTTCTGAGGGGTACAGAAGATACATTTCTGAAATGTCGTTTAAATGAATTATTACTCAAAGTTCTGTATTAAAATGCCTAGTAAGGAATCTATTTGTCAAAAACATTTCTTGAATCTTTTTTGTTGTCTGTACTGTTAAAGACATAGTTCTTGACAGGTATTTTGAAATTAATTACCAAAATAATTGAAACCGGTATGATTATATTGTGTTATTTTGACAAATAAAATTCTGTGTATTTTGCAGTATTTTAAAATATTGTGCACAGAATTTTTTATTTTTTGGCACAGAATTCCCCCAGGAGTACTGACTGTACCTGAGGAATGATACACAGGAGGCTATTTATACACACATTTTATCTTGCATCCAATCAATGAAAGTTGTATATTACCAGAGTAGTTTGCATTCTGTCTTCTACGAACTGAAGAACTCGTGTTCGTAGATCTATGCCCACTGGGAATCCAGCCTAAAGCCAGAACAGAAAGGGAATAATTAAGGAAAAAGCTTGCAAAAACTGAAGGTTCTTTAAAAGACTATCTGTACACATGGCAAGAAATCTCAGTAACAGTTTCTCCATATCTGGTCTCATGCATCCAAAGTAATTTTCTTACATTTATATAGTGTCCTCCTTTCAACCACATAGTAAGGCGCTTTAGGATCTATCAGATTGTGTGAAGTAACTTCAAAACAACCAGTGATAAAATTAAACAGTCTCATCCACAAATACCAGCCCTTATGTTCCTCCCTCCCCAAAAGTCTGGGTACCCTGATGGTCAAAAGACCTGGGCTATTTCAGTCCAAGGTGGAGATGGAGTGTGACTCAGGGACCTCTTGATGCCAACTGGCAGAGGGCACATGGGGTTTTACAGGGATCCCTTGGGTCAGGGACATACATAGTACTTCACCAAAGGTGGCATGTAAGGTCTCTACTAATGGTCATCATAATCATTGCAAAATGTATGCAAGTATAATATTTAAGAAGTTATGTATCTATACTGAATATTATGTTCTTAAGGTAAGGCAGGTCAAGGTGATATGCCGCAGACAGGTTCCTTTCAGGCAGGAGGTAACAGATGCTTAGACCTCCCTGTCTGGTCATAGCTGTACTGTCTGCTCCACAATGGAGGCCTATTTGCATACTGAGCCAGATATCGATTAAGAAATGACAAAATCTACAAGAAAGGAGTATACAGAAAACAAAAAGAACAAACAGGAGGATGTCCTGCCTATGAATAAGGACAATGGTTTGCTCTGAGATGTCTATGGGTACAAACAGACACCCTGGATCTTTCACAGAGGAGACGAGCAGACAGCATAACTTATCTCTAAGGGCGGGTGGTAGCAAGATGCCTCAGAACCCTGGGTATCCCCAAGAAGCATCACAAGGAACGAGTTCTAAAGTCAAGGGCCCTCAAAGAAAATGCCTTGTCAGCATCTCCTCCTTTTTTAAACCAAGGGGACTTCAATTCAGGCACCTTCACTAACAACAGCTGTGGCCCAGGAGAGGAGACTTGCAAGGCCCTATAAGCAGGAACCAAGCCATTTAGATGTTTATAGTTGACAGCAAACACCTTAAACTCCACTCCAAAACCAACAGGTGACATGCAGAGTCACTGATGTCTCGTGCTCCCAGCAAGATATGCTCCTTAATAAGCACCAACTTCAGTATCCAGATCAGTTTAAGGTGCATCTGTATATAAAGGGCAGTACAGTGCAGTAATCAAATCTTAACATGGCAGAAGCTCAGATAAGGGTAGACTTGCCCACATCCAAACCCACAGTAGCAAGCTCTGGGACAGATATAGATGAAGAAGTGCTTTCCTGGCCACTGTTGCTCTATGTTTGATTAATAGCAGCTGGTGATCCAACAATACCCTGAGATGGCAGACTCTAGTAACTAACAGCACAATTGACACTCCGGCTATAGTCAATAGGAGATCTGGGTACCCATGGACTCTGGGATCAAACCTTGTACAAATACCTACCACTGAAATGCAGCCACCTCTGGGGTGAACAGGTTTCAGTTAGGGTCAGATAATTGTCAGCATGCTCCAGGAGAGGCAGGATAAGTTACTATTTTGTAGGGATCACCAATCCAACTCCAGCTATGAGCCCACTCTCTAGGGGGCCTCCTCAGGAGATAAGAAAACTGTTCCCTGTCCCTATCCCAGCTGCAGCCTTACTAGCTGCTGATCTCACATAGTATACATCTACACCACTGGTCCCCAAACTGTGGGGCGCGCCCTGTCCAGTGAGGCTCAGGACAGCCCCCATGGGAGGGTGTGGAGGGAGCATCACCCAGCCCCGCGCTGCCCCCAGCTCCGCTCCAGCCCCAGCTGTGACCCAGCTCCGCTCCCAGTAGCCGGCCGCTACCCTGTTCCTGCCCCAGCCGTGGCTTGGCCGTCGGCCCCTGCTCTCGGCCGCCAGCCCCAGGCCACAACTCTGCTCTCAGACACAGAGGGGCGCAGACACATTCCATTATTGGTAGGGGGGGCACAAGAAGAAAAGTTTGGGCACCGCTGATCTACACAGCTAGCAGCTTGGCCTCTGAGCCCAGGTCAACTGACTTGGGCTTGTGGAACTCACACTACAAACAACAGTGTAGATAGTGCTTTTAAGCTGCAGCTCAGGCTGAATCTCTCCTGCATGCCTACGCTTCAGAGCCCGAGCTACAACTTCTACACAGCTATTTTTAGCATGTTAGTGCAAGCCCCAAAAGCCCAAGTCTGTCAACCCAGATTCAGAGGCTTGTTGCCGCAGGCTGTGTAGATGTACATAATTACACTCGTGCAACTTTAGGAGGCTGTCCTCAGGTCCTACTCAGGGAGGCAGAAAAAGCTCCTGGAGAGCCCTCTTTGAATAGCAGCATCACTGGATTTATCAAAAATGGACTAGTCCCCTACTCTAGACACAGGTAAATGTGGCAGATGAGCGAAGTAGGAGGGGCACACACAATAGCAAGCTATTACATAGGCACTGATAAGAAACCCAGGCCTCCCACTTTCTCGGATTCTAACCAGATTGCTTCCCCAGAACCCTACTTGAAGGGTAAGTCAGCCTCTGGCTAGTGGTAGGTTTCTGATAAGTTTGAAGCTCTATCTTTTTCTAGCTGTTGGTATTTTGGATGCAGAGAGTGAACATGGCATAAGGCATCCGGGCACACCACTTGAGGGACGGGAAGAAATGCCTTGTATGATATACCATTAAAACATAAAAGGGCTGAGTGAAGTAAAGAGGAGGGGGAGAACACAAAAACTCCATTGGTCTCTAACAGACAGGCATCCTGGGCAGAAATGAGGGACTCAGGGCTTGTCTACACTTGAAATGCTACAGCTAGACGAAGGGTTGCCAACCCTCCCAGTTTCGCCGGGAGTCTCATGGAATTGGGCTCTATCTCCCAGAAGCTACTGAAGCCAAAAAGGGAGATTTTAGGCCGCTAAAAGTCCGGCGGTGCAGCGGGGCTAAGGCAGGCTTCCTGTCTGCCATGACCCTGGGCCACTCCCGGAAGCGGCTTGCATGTCCCTGCAGCCTCTGGGAGGGGGCAGGGGGTCTCCGTGCACTGCCCCTGCCCTGAGCACCAACTCCGTAGCTCCCATTGGCCGGAAACTGTGGTTTATAATTATATTACAGTAACTCCTCACTTAACGTTGTAGTTATGTTCCTGAAAAATGCGACTTTAAGCGAAACGATGTTAAGTGAATCCAATTTCCCCATAAGAATTAATGTAAATGAGGGGATTAGGTTCCAGGGAATTTTTTTTCACCAGACAAGAGACATTTTATTTATATAGATAGATAGATAGATAGATAGATAGATAGATCTATCTATCTACATACATACACACACACACACACACACACACACACACACACACAAACAGTATAAGTTTTAAACAAACAATTTAATACTGGTACACAGTGATGATGACTGTGAAACTTGGTTGAGGTGGAGGAGTCAGAGGGTGGGATATTTTCCAGGGAACGCCTTACAGCTAAATGATGAACTAGCAATTGGCTGAGCCCTCAAGGGTTAACTCTCACAGTGTACAAGGCAGCAGGAATGGAGGGAGGGGAGAGAGCATCGCAGACAGAGACACATATTGTGTGTGAGAGAGAGAGATGCACATTACCCCTTTAAGTACACTGCCTTGTTTATTAGATCAGCTTGCTGAGACCGCAGCTGCTGCTGCCCGCAAGCTCCCTCTGTCCTGAGCCCTGTCGTGTCCCGTCCCCCCCCCCGCTCTATGGAAGATGGGATAAGCGGGGTGCAGAAGCAGGGGGGAGAGGGACACCCTGACATTAGCCCCAATCTTCCTCCCCTCCCCCCCGCACAGCAAGCAGGAGTCTCGGGGAGCAGCTCCAAGGCAGAGGGCAGGAGCAGCACATGGCAGTGGGGGGGAGTGACAGCTGCAATTGCTAGCCTGCTGGGCAGCTGCTGCACAGGGAACTTAGGGGAGCGGGGAGCTGATAGGGGGAGCTGATGGGGGGCTGCCAGTCCACCTTGGTTCCCAGGGACGGTGCAAGGATGTTTCGCGCCCTAGGCGAAACTTCCACCTTGCGCCCTCCCCCTTCCTCACCCCCCCCTGCAGCAGCTCCCCACCCACCCCTGCCCTGAGGCGCCCCCCCTGCAGCAGCTCCCCACTCCCCCCGCCCTGAGGCACCCCCCCCCTGCGGGGGGAAGGAAAAAAAAAAAAAAAAAAAAAAAAAAAAAAAAAAAAAAAACCCAGCTCACCTCTGCTCCGCCCCCTCCCCGAGCCCTGCGGCAGCTCACTACCCCGCTCTGCCCTGAGGCACCTCCCCCGCGGCACCTCCCCACCCCTCCTCCGCCCTGAGGCACACCCCACACACACAGCAGCTCCCCCCCTGCCCGGGGAGCCGTGCGGCAGCTCCCCCCCAGCTCACCTCTGCTCCGCCTCCTCCCCGAGCACGCCATCGCTGCTCCACGTCTCCCGCCTCCTAGGCTTGCGGCGCCAATCAGCTGTTTGGCGCCGCAAGCCTGGGAGGGAGAGAAGCAGAGCGGGGCGGCGTGCTCAGGGGAGGAGGCGGAGCAGAGGTGAGCTGGGGCGGGGAGCGGTTCCCTTGCGTGCCGCCCCCCCCTTACTTGCTACAGGCGCCCCTCCCCGCACCGTCCTGCCCCAGCTCCCTCCGCCTAAATGCCGACGACGACCGGGGCGGCCAAAGATCCGGCCGCTGCGGTCGCCAAGGAAGAAAATGCCACCCCCCAAATGCTAGCGCCCTAGGCGACCGCCTAGGTCGCCTAATAGGTTGCACCGGCCCTGCTGGTTCCAAGTCCCCACCAGCTAGCTTCAACGGGCTGCTCTTCCTGCAAGCAATGGACAAAGTGGGCGGCTGCCAAACTACGTTAGAAGGGAGCATTGCACAACTTTAAAGGAGCATGTTCCCTAATTGATCAGCAACGTAACGAAACAATGTTAACCAGGACGACTTTAAGTGAGGAGTTACTGTATAATTTTATCTATTGAGTGGCAATCTATGTTCCATTATAAAGCTTACTTTCTTCATTAACTTTTTAGATGTAGAAACACATAGTATTCTTAGATTGTTTTCAGAACTACTTATATGAGGACTCAAAACAAAAATCTGATTTTTCACAAAGGGGGTAAAAAAATTTTGTCCATTTACAACTGACCACTCATTCATTGCAGAAGTTTAAAAATTCATACATATGTATATTTCAATGCCTTGCTGTGATTATTTACTTTGCCAGCTATTTCAAATTTTTAAAAATATTTCAATTATTTATTTGCTATGTGTGTTACTGTACAATATACCTGTCAGGAACTTTATTTGATAAATTTACTTTCTGAGATTCATATTCTAAAAAAAAAGTTTTTTTTTTTTTTTTAAATTGAAGTTGCATACGTCTAACCCTTTTAGTTGTGAAGATAACTTTCAAAATGTGAACTGATACAGCAGTTAGTCTAAAACAACTGTTGACTGTGAAGTTTTAGATGTCAAATGTTTTGTCATCTAACTTCAGATAAATGCTCAATCTGGTCTAAAGAGTATTATTATGGCTGGCTGTTTGTCACTGTCATGAATGCCACAATTTTTTGTTATTTTTTTAAGTCAACTATGGCTCCATTCCTCTGCAGAGTTCATTTCGTTTTCATCTAAAACAAAATAAATAAATAAATAAAACTTTTTTTTAAAAGCTTTCTAGCCTTTATGGTTACAAATCTATTTTCCAAAACTTAATCAAACATAACCAATGCAGTGTTCTCTCAGTCCCACCAACAAACTGTGCTTCTGCAGGGCGTTCTTTATTTCTAATCCGAAGATACATTTCGAGAGGATAGGAAATCTGTAACTAAGGCTATGCAGTTTAGAAATATACAACATGCTTTCCCAAAATAAGACCTAATATTTTAAGAACTGTACTAATATTTTGTATGAATGCATTGGGTTTCTAAAATGCCCTATAACACTCAATATACTTGAAGTAAATGAGTGCTGTGATTTGAGGGCAGTCACCTAAAATAGTAACTTTCTGTGCCATCACAAAGCCACAATTTTTCCAATTTGTTACCAGAACAAACCAATTTTAGATACAATAATTTATATAAGATCCATAGATATATCACCTCAAAAGGAATTATTTTGGGGAAAGTTCTATGGCCTGTGTTATATAGGAGATCAGACTAGATGATCACAATAGTCCCTTCAGGCACTGGAATCTCGGAGTCTATGAACCTCCTACATAAAGTCTGAAAGCCCTTTAAAGTGATGTTAAGGAAATAAGATTATAGAATACTTTTAAAATAAGCGCCTAGGAAGATACAGTTCAGATTGCTAAGTGCAATTCAAGAAAAGGTGTACCATTATACACAGGCACAGAAAAACTCAGACTATGGAAATCACAATTTAAGGTTACATAAATAATTCTGACACCAATCTTAGCACTCAGTTCCTACACACAGAACATTAAACAGAAAAATTCTAAATGACCAGCTTCCAACCTACTTTAGACTCCTTTTTAAAGTTAGGTTTCTAGTACTAATGATAACCTGAAGCATTTTTTAAAATATGAACTGATGCAGTATATTACTCCTGATTATACGAACAGCTCCACTGCTGATCGCAGCTGCCGAGGGAAAGTAGAATAACACTGGTCATTTCAACAGCTGTTATTAAAAATACTGCATATAGTGGAAGTGAGCACCAAACTATGGATGGGGCAGGGCACAATATGCAGGTACTGGGTTACGGGCAGACCAGTACAGACACACTTACTGGAGCAGTAGCCAGGAACTTGGGTGAAGGATAAGAATAGTAGAGCCACCCTCAACCCAATAGTCAAGAATGGAAGGGGCAGAGAGAAAGTTTCTTCTTTCCTTCATAACCAAGGTGGGACAGGATGGGTTTAACCATACGAGACTCACTAGCCAAAGGCCATATGAAAGATGGAGTCCTCCAACAAGGTCCAGGCCAGCATATTAACAGGAATTCCAGCAGTTGGGGGCTACTGTAGTCCTGAGTTCTCCTCCACCTGCCCACCCCTTTCAATATTTCATATCACCTGACTAGTAGGTGTCTGATAACTTTTTCAAGCTTTGCTTTAAATTATACATAATTATATTATAGCAGAGGTGGATTAAGATTTATTGGGGGCCTGGTCATAAAGAACAATTTGGACCCCCCACATGCCCCTCACCATGGGGCCCCACCCCCTGCTCCTCCTCTTCCCCTCAAGGCCCCTGCCCAGGCTGTAGCCGGGCCATGGAAAGAGCTGTCCAGGGAGCTTGGCCACCATGTGGAGCCCCAGACTCTCCGCCTACCATGGACGGCGCACCCCAAGAGGCAGGGACACAGACTGAGGGCTGCTCTCTGGTCACCCGGCTGACTGCCCAGGACAGGTGGAGGGTCCAGGGCTCCCCACAGCAGCCCAGGCTCTCTGGGCAGCTCTTACCATGGCTCACCTCTGGCTTCCAGCCTGGCTGAAAGCGGAGCCTCGGGGAAAGAGGAGGATCAGGGGGTGAGGCCACAGTTCTGGTGCTGGTGGCCCCCCCACTTCTACAGAGTTTCTCGCACACCTGCAGAGGCCCCCAAATTGGCCGGGGCCCCTGGGCACAGGGCCCATCCATTAATCCACCATTGATTATAAGAGAAAAGAAACAGGTAAAAAATTCTTACAACTGTTAGCTTAATCCTTACGCTGCTATTTCTAGTCTCCTTCCTTCCTGTTCATTCAAAGAGTAGTTCCATTCCCAAATTCTTCTCCCACCACAACTTGTGCTCTTTTGTTCCCAGTGGGATCTCTTTCCAATGATACTGTAGTGACTGGGGAAGAGGGAGCTCTGTTTTGTGAGTAGACAAATCCTTGCTTATTCTTTCCCACTAGTCTCTTTTCTATGGGAATTAGTCCAGATGGTTTACTTCCCAGGACAATACCCTTTAGATGTCTGGCAAATATACACAACCTTCTGTTGCCAATAATTACTAAATCATAACAATTCATCTGGTAACGTGCCCTGAATGTTATTCGGGGTTCAAGCTGTAAAAGACTATGGGCCCACCGAGGACTGCAGATCAACAATTCTATCTTGACAACTAATTTTACAATAAATTTTACCTTGCGCTCTCCGACAGCGATGCATGTCCCATCTGGGCTGTTGCCAGTAAAGAGAGCCTTGTCTTGCTGTTATTACCACTCAAATTACCAGATATCCTCCTGGCTTGTCAAGTACATTTGTTTCCATGTGGTTATGCTTTGATTGCTGAAACTGTGATTTGAATAAAGCTTGCATGGCATATGTTTGGGCATTTAATGTGTGTTATCTTTTTTCCCTAGGAATAAGAAATTCCCAACACAGAGGCTTGCCTTAAGGCTCTATTAAATCATATACTTTAGTACACCAAGGTATAGCTATAGTAAAAGACAGCTGCCACGGGACTCTACCTTTAAGAAGTGTGGGAGCATATTATATGCAGCTTACGTTGTGTTACTTTGGTAATATCTTAGACTAAAATGAAGGCTGGAGGAGATAAGAAATGCAACTGGACGAAGAGGGTTAGAAAAATGACAGCAAGCTGGGGCCAATCTTTTTAAGATTTTGGAGGGACAAAACAAAAAACTAAACATCTTACATGTGGAACAGCTCTTATTTAAAGCCAATATTTTTGTATTCTTTAACAAATTAGCCAGATGTTACTAAACTGGCCAAGTTAAGTTCCAGATTCTGGAAACACCATAAGTGCTTGAATAAGTCAGAGTATAAATATAAAAATCCAGCATACTGTACCTCGAGGCTGGAGTTGCTGTCCTCATCACCCATGTCTTTTGGGGGGGGGGGGAAGAAATGAGAGAAGAAAACCTAGTTAATAAGTGACATTCATCATTCCCATAGTCAGCATTAACAACCATAATGCAAAGTGTTTGAGAACTAATCCTCCAAGCTTCTTTATTTATCACTAGAAGGCAAGTTAATAGAAATATTGCATTTTTTCCCCATCTTCCTTTTTCTTCCTGAGAGAAAATACAGGAAGAAATAAAGCAAACAGGGTGATGATTTGCTGTTCTGATATTCTAGTACAACAATGATAATTAATGAAGCTCTCTACATGGTAACCAAGCTGTGTTTATGGGTTTCAATCAAAGGTCTCATATACAGCACAAACAGAAAACAAGCTGGCACCCCCATCCCACCAAATTAATTAAACCTGCTCAAAGAAAGTCTCAAACATAATATTGAAAATGTCTGCTGGAGCCAGAGAGCCTTCCATGCTAGGGCTCCCACTGTTTCTAATACCAGTGCAACTGAATTGCTATTAGCAACAATGAGATTTGTTTTTAAACATTTGGCCTGTATCTTCACTGAGAAAAAAAGATGTGTTTTACTGGTGTTATGCTAACCCATGTTAAAATCCTCGTTATGGATAAAGTGGTTGTAATTTTAATCTGTGTTAGCTGCTCAAAGTAAACCCTACAGTATTCACCTCAAACAACTAACTCAGGTTAAAACTGCAACTGCCTTGTCAACCTTAAGATTTTAATATTGGTTAGCTTAATACAGATTAAAAAATACACCTTTTTCCCTAGAGAGAAGTCAAGGCTCTGTAATGTATACAAGGCAACAAAATTAAAAGTCATCCCTCCTGAGGTCTTAATGTATTTACCCTCTACTTCCAACTGAAAACCCAGCCCAAGCCTTCTCTTCAAGCTTGACTACCACTATGCTTACCTCACCAGAGCATAAGGCTATGCTTAGGTTTCGTTTTTTGCTCCAAACCCTACAGTGCAGTGTGTGCTCTCTCAATCCTTGAGGGCTATATCCACTTTCCCTATATCCAGGTGGGCATAACAAGCTAATTGTACCCTTGAATCAGCAAAACAAATATTTTCCAGCAAGGTCCCCACTGTTAACATGATGCAGTTTTCAGGCAAAGACCATCAGCTGTTACAGGCTTCTTTTCCCTTATACTTTCATAGCCATATCGTTACCACTTGTAGAACCATTAGAAAACCCAGACCTGACACAATATTTAACACAATTCAAAGCATAGACCTGAACTGCAGATCAGTAGCCAGGTCTACCTAGCAAGTTCTAATACACAGTGTCACCATATCCTACATAATGCCTTTACGCAAACAGTTTATAGGATTTTTCCCAAAAAAACTCAAAGTACTACATATGTGCCAAAAATACTGCTTCTGCAATGAACATTAGCCTGTCTTATCCCATTGCAAGATGATTGCTTTTTTAGCACAGTTCATAATTACCCAATTAGTAATTAAATGAAACTAAGACTATGTCTACACTACAGACCTTACAGCAGCACAGCTGTACTGCTGCAGCTGCATCACTGTAAGGTTTCCGGTGTAGCCACTCTATGCCGGCAGGAGAGAGCTCTCCCGTCAGCATAATTAAACCATCCCCAATGAGCGGGGGTAGCTATGTCAGCAGGAGCCCATCTCCTGCCGACATAGCGCTGTCCAGACCAGCACTTTTGTCAGTGAAACTTATGTCAGTCAGAGGTGTGGTTTTTTTCACACCCACGAATGACAAAATTGTAGACATAGCCTAGTATAGACATAGCCTAACATTCTTCACAAAGCCTTAAAAAACAGCAGCTCTATTTTGTACCCCAACAAATTCTCTTCCCGAAAGACTGAGTTGAAGGTAACAGTGGCTAATCCAAAGAGCCACACAGTTAGTCAATTTCCTATGTTGTCAGTCTTTCACACAGCACCAGGGAAGACAAATTTATTAAAAACTAAACAAAACAAAAATAAAACCACAGAAATTAGGATGGGGACTCAAAGGCAGCAATAAGTGCCTTAAACTAAATTTTTTATATCTCTTTTAAATAGACTAGATTTCAAGCTGACACTGTGCCTTTTAGTCAATATTTACAGAAAAAGGTTTAATTAAATATCTTGAGGGACATTTTTAAAGTATTTCAGCATCTCTAGCAAATAATTCCATATTCCACAATGAAAAAGTAAAATATTTAAAAGTATAACATATAATATTGTATTCTGAGTCTTATTAATCTTAGTTTTTCTGCTCAAATTATGAAAAAAACATTTTCTGCCAGTGTACAAATTTAAATAGATAAAAATATTAAATACACAGAGATCTAATGAAACTCAATTTTAAAAACTGGAAAAAAAAAAATCCACAGTATTCACCCTATCATGCATGTCTTATTATTTAAATATGAGGAACCATCCCCTATTAGTATAATGGATGTATAGGATTTTGTATTACTTTAAATGTGAATTCCATTAATCTACACACTTTTCATCCTGTACAAAAATGTAGTGCATTCTTGCCACCTTCGGGATATTGTATATGATTATGATTTTATTTGATTTTGACAGAATACACAATGTTACATTTAGTAGTACACTATGAAGTATCCTAAGTAGTGCACTAAACCAGTGATTGTCAACCTGTGATTTGCAGACCTCCGGGGTCCAGAGACCAGGTCTAAGATTTCCAAAGGGGTCCGCACCATCATATAAAATTTGTTAGGGGTCCACAAATGAAAAAAGGTTGAAAACCACTGCAGTAAACTATAGCTGTCAAAATGAAGGACATTTTGTGATGCAGCATCTTTGCTTTTTTATTGTTTATTCACTTAAAAGGCTAGTCAGTTTTATTTTTTTTTAAATCCTTTTCCTTTCATTATTAATATCATAAAGTGTAGGTAAATAGATTTTGTGCCTGGGCTGGTACACTTTCATGACAATTTTGCAAGGCTGGGGGGGAGGGAAATTGATTCACAATATAGTTTGACATTTTGTTTATGTTTTTTTCCTATCTATTTAGGCCCTGATCTTCCAAAGACTTAAATTTTTGCATTATGAGTAGTCACACTGAAGGACTACTGAGGCACAATCAATGGGAATATTCACTATGTGTAAACAGGTAAATCAAATTAAATTAAGCAAGCAGGTAAATCTCTGTACTTTAGACTGAGAACTCTCTAAGAAGACTCCATCTCCTTTATGTTTGTACAGCACTGAGCACAATGCTCAATCCTGACTGTGGTCTTGAATAGCTACTGCAATATAAATAAATAACAATAATAATTAGAGACACAAAGTAGATGTGGTAATATCTTTTATTGGACTCACTTCTGTTGGTGAGTGAGATAAGCTTTTAAGCTTACTCAGAGATCTTCTTCAGGTCTGAGAAAGGTACTCAAACACACCGAGTACCTTTCCCAGACCTGACGAAGAGCTCTGTACAAGCTCAAAAGTTTGTCTCTCTCACCAACAGAAGTTGGTCCAATAAAATATATTACCCCACCCACCTTGTCTCTCTAATGTCCTAGGACCAGCGAAAACCACACTGCAAACAGCAATAATAATTCTCACTCTACCCCGACTAAACATTTGAGCAGGTTAGTGTAGTGCTGCTCCTATGATATCCAAAGTTCACTATAATAATCCTGCATCCAAGATGAGACACACAGCATGAGATCTGACCCTTTCCAGAAGCAAAGAGAGTAAACAGGGGGCTCCATCACGTATCAGTGTCACTGTCATTCACTTCTCCTGCCATGGCCAGAACTGGCACAAGACTCTAGTAAAACCCCAGGGCAGCCACGTACTGGGAAAGGGTCCAAACAATTTCAGACCCGCTGCATTGAGGCACCCACCCACGGCCGCAGTATCCAGGCTCCACAGTGACTTCGGGTGTAGGGGGAATCTCAGCAGAGGCGAGTCGAATGGGAGGCAAGGCCTCAACACCGCTAAGACGGAGATACTCAGAGCTGAGCCGAAGAGGGGGGTGCTCGCTGTCCAGCCCCTCGGGCAGGCCCCCAGCCAGACGCTGCTCGCAGGGCAGCTGGTCTGGGGAGAAGGCCGGTGCCTGGAGCCCCCAGGGGAAGCGGTGACTCACCGAGTGGCTCCAGGCGGCTCGAAAATGTCTCTTCTTGACAGGAGGCGGGAAACGGGGGGAACCGTCTAAATGAGGTCAGAGGTTAAAAGTCAGTGCAGAGGTCATGCAAGAAACGGGACCGTGCTTTCCTTGTCTTCCTCCAGAAAAACACGCCGGGTACGCACGCGCTACGCAATGACGTTCCGCGCTGATTGGCCAGAGCATTGCCACGTGCAGTTACAGCGGCCGCGGGTTGGTTGGTAGTTGCGCCGCGGGCGAGGCGCCGCTGCTGTATGTGGGCGAGTGAGCGGCGAGGTGCTGCGGCCAGAACGCGGCGCCGGGACATGTGAGGGTCTCTCGTCCCAGGGCCCCGTTAGGGTCGGGTCCCAGGGGACAGCGCCCGAGAGACGGGTCAGGCCACCCCCTCGTCCCGGCGGGCTGTTCAGGGACCCGCAGCGGCCCTGCCCGCCCGCGGTTCGGGCGCCCCCAGGCTGGATGTGCCGGCCGGGCCGGGCCGGCGGGCTTGTCCCCACCTGCGCCTGGAGCCGGCTCCTGAGGCACCACTGCTATGAGAGAAACAGCCCGAGGGCTCCCGTAGAGCCTGCCGCAACCATCTGCCCGGGAGGAAAGTGCCCCCGGGCCGTGCTCGGGGTCTGGGCTGCCGCCTGGGGGCCCGCTCTGAGGCGGCTGGAGCTGAAAGTGCTGTTTGCAGTGGGAGCTCCCGTTCTCAGAAGGTGCTGTGAACATGAAGCATCTGCTGTGAATAACAGCTAGATGGGGAGCTCACGGGCTCTTCTGTAACTCAGTGGAGCGTAGGTCAGAGTCCTACCTAAACTGCCATGCGAAGAACAATTGTTCATACTCTTTTCTTATGTGACTTTTTTTTTTCCCTCTTGCAGATATTCAGCATGGGATTGCTTACCAACCTCGCCCGAGGCCTGGTCCGAGGTGCAGACAGAATGGCTGAATTTACCAGCAAACGTGGACCCAGAAGCCATAACAAAGGCAGAGGAGCCCGGAAATTGGGTTATGTCACCTTAGGTGGGAAATTTATCAAAATTAAGGAAATGGTCCCTGAATTTGTGGTTCCAGATTTGACAGGGTTTAAGCTCAAGCCGTACGTTTCCTATAAGACTCCTAAAGGGACAGAACCACCACTGACGGCCAAACAGCTTTTCATGGATGTTGTTGCCCCACAGATTGAGAAGGATATTAAAGATGGAACTTTTGACCCCCATAACCTTGAGAAATATGGATATGAACCTACTCAAGAAGGCAAGCTCTTCCAGTTGTTTCCCAAGAACTATGTACGTTAAGAAGTAAAGATTATAGCCTTCCCTGGAAAGCTTCTGCAGCAACACAGGAAACTTACAAAAATATTGTTTTTAAATATGATAAAATGTTGAATATGGAGATTTCAGCTATAGAGGGAAAAACATCCTGCCCTTTTTCAGTACCTATTAAAGAAAAATCCTACTGACTTGGCTTGTGTAACTTTTAGATATCTCAAACTTCTTAAAAAGGTAACCAGATTTGTAACTTACAAATGGGTGAGAACAGAGCATTGAATATAACCAGCTATTGCCTGGGCCTCACCTGTGGCTTTTCATGTTGTGGCCTGTGGTCAAAAGCAGTCAGCCATCTGCTTCCATTGTTAGATGAGATAGGGATACAAGCACTCATCCTTCAGGGTATTAAGCCAACCACTAAGTACCTGGGGCAATTCCCATCTTCCTGCTCTTAGGTCACCAAAGATCAATCCTATATAAAAATGGAGTATTGCACAAGAGCAAGGGGAAACTTCAGAAAAGAACAATAGGAATCCTTGGCCTAAGCTATAAGCTGTCTCAAAGGTTGGGACTGTCCTGTTAAACCTAAACTTGTAACCAGTCTGAGGCTATTCCCAGTTTTAAGGCAACTTTCTTTTGGATGCAATCAGTATCCCTAGTATTTATGTACAACTGAGGCCTGCTCCTGAGTCGGGCAATTGAATGTCAGAGCATTGCACTTTTTAGAGCCTCTTGTGTAAGGAATCAAATTAACTTTGTTATCTCTCTCCACCACAACAGGCACTACTAGCAGCTATGCATCTTCCCAACTTATCTGAGCTAGCAGTACTTCTATCCTAAGAATTTTAAAAATTGATTTAATATTAAAGTACCTTTGTTTTTCTCATTTTATTGGCGATGCAAAAGGCATCTCCATGTGTAAACAGGGTATATACAATGACATGAGCAGGAGTAATAAATCAAGATGTTTCATTGTTTAATGGACAAAGTGTTAGAAAGCAGGAATTCCTAGCTCTGCTCAAGGTCCCACAGCAAGTTTGCTATAAAAAATTAATCCTTTGTCCAGTTTTATGGCTGGGGAACCTTTCACTCCCAATGTCTAGTTGTGGTTTGTTTGTACAAGGCTTGGCAAATGTAAAATATCGATTAAGCACAAGGATGTAGTTCCTATGTCCTCTTGTGTGGAGAAGAAGGCCACTTTAATGTACTCTTTGCCAGCATCTCACTTATGATGAAAACTGGGTGCCTAAGCTTTTATGTTTCTATTTTTTAAAAAAGCAAAGGAGCTTGAGGAAGGTGGGGGAGTAGGCAGGAGCAGTTAACTAGTGCCCACTGCAGCAAGTTCTAGTCCAGTCTTTTTCAGAGGGCATCTGGTTTTTCTAGATCTGAGATGTTTTTCCATCAACTACCTATTTTAATGTCATGAAAATAGTGGGATCTTACTCTGCTGAAATTAGTTGTTTATTGTTGCATGAGAATGAATAGTCACTGAGCCAGGGAAAGACAGAATGACTATAGCCTGATGGGTTAGATGCTCACCTAGGTTTTGGGAGATCAAACTTTAAGTCCCTGCACCAGTGACTTTTTATTTATAAAAAGCAGAACAGTTTCAAGAGGAGAGACTGAGAAAGCCCAATACCAGAATATCCCATAGTCATAGAATATCAGGGTTGAAAGGGACCTCAGGAGGTCATCTAGTCCAACCCCCTGCTCAAAGCAGGACCAATTCCCAACTAAATCATCCCAACCAGGGCTTTGTCAAGCCGGGCCTTAAAAACTTCCAAGGAAGGAGATTCCACCACCTCCCTAGGTAACGCATTCCAGTGCTTCACCACCCTCCTAGTGAAATAGTGTTTCCTAATATCCAACCTAGACCTCCCCCACTGCAACTTGAGACCATTACTCCTTGTTCTGTCATCTGCCACCACTGAGAACAGCTGAGCTCCATCCTCTTTGGAACCCCCCTTCAGGTAGTTGAAAGCAGCTATCAAATCCCCCCTCATTCTTCTCTTCTGGAGACTAAACAATCCCAGTTCCCTCAGCCTCTCCTCATAAGTCATGTGCTCCAGCCCCCTATTCATTTTTGTTGCCCTCTGCTGGACTCTTCCCAATTTTTCCACATCCTTCTTGTAGTGTGGGGCCCAAAACTGGACACAGTACTCCAGATGAGGCCTCACCAATGTCGAATAAAGGGGAACGATCACGTTCCTCAATCTGCTGGCAATGCCCCTACTTATACAGCCCAAAATGCCGTTGGCCTTCTTGGCAACAAGAGCACACTGTTGACTCGTATCCAGCTTCTCGTCCACTGTGACCCCTAGGTCCTTTTCTGCAGAACTGCTACCTAGCCATTCGGTCCCTAGTCTGTAGCAGTGCATAGGATTCTTCTGTCCTAAGTGCAGTACTCTGCACTTGTCCTTGTTGAACCTCATCAGGGTTTTTTTTGACTTCTGTTAGTTGCCAGAAGAAAGCCTCATCCACCTCATCCCCCTGGTCTGGTGGTCTATAGCAGACTCCGACCACGACATCACCCTTGTTGCTCACACTTCTCAACTTTATCCAGAGACACTCAGGTTTTTCTGCAGTTTCATACCGGAGCTCTGAGCAGTCATACTCCTCTCTTACATACAACGCAACTCCCCCACCTTTTCTGCCCTGCCTGTCCTTCCTGAACAGTTTATATCCATCCATGACAGTACTCCAGTCATGTGAGTTATCCCACCAAGTCTCTGGCTAGGGCATCCTCCTGCAATGTGGGACACCCAAATTCAAATTTCTTCTCCACAACAGGCAGAGAGAGGAACAGAACCCAGGTGAGTACCCTGAATCCAGTAGTTCCCAAACTTTTTACTAAAGTGACCAACCATCTGCATTGTTTCTTTTTGGGGGACCCACCATTATTACTACTACTCCCCCTCTCCTCAGTCCCCTAGTCCTGTCCCTCCTACTGAGTCCTGCAGCCCTCTGGCCCCCAAACCTCCTCCTTTGCTCTCGCTCTCCCTGCAGCCCTGGTCAGCTCCTCTCCCCTCACAGCTGGACTGCAATTGCTTCCAGGCTGCTGACTGTCCACTTGCTGGCTCTTGCCATTTCTTCTGTGTGGCTAGTACCCAGATACCTCTTCCCACCCCACTGCCTGCTGCCCAGAGCAGGATCTAGGCAGCAGCACAGAGGAAGTGACTTGAGCCAAATAGTCAGTAGCCTGTTCCTGTTTCACATGTGCCTCTCAGAGGCTTTCCTTCATGCTGCTGCTGCCCACTGGAAAGGTGGGGAGTGTCACAGACTCACAGATCATGCCCACTCTTGGCCCTGTGCGGTCCGTGAGGGGTGCCCCTTTCAGTGAGACAGCCCTTCTCAGGGGTTAAGCCCCTCCGCCTCCTGGAGCCGCACCTCTCTGAGCCTTAGCATGTCTGTCTCTGCCATGGGCCCCCTCAGGGAGTCCACTCGCTCTGGACCCCCCCGGGCCTCCACCCCCGAAGGGGTTGATGCAGCCCTGTTCTCTAGACCAGAGTGACTCTCAGCCAGCATAAAACAGGAGGGTTTATTGAGCATTGAACACAGCACAGGAAACTCTGACCCTCAGGCCTGGCCTCTCTCCGCACAGCACATTCCAGTCTCTCCCTGCATCCAGGTGGGCTCTGCCTGCTCCCCATCTCCAGCCCAGAGCCCCCCTGCTTCCCAGCTGGGCATCTAAGATCACCAGCCCCAAGCCCCACCTCTGTCCATTGTCTTCTCTCCAGGTAAACAGGGTTGCCTCGGCCTCCTGTCCTCTGGCCGGAACCAGCTGGTTAGGTCATGGGGTCCTCTCTTCGCAGCCCATTGCCCTCCCACTGGCCAGAACCGGTTGCTGGGTCTCCGGGTCACCAGTCGCTGGGGTATC